GGTGGGGTGCGTCTTTTATGCAGGGTAGGTTCACCCAAGGCCGTTGTGCCCGCACAAACTGAAGGAATACGAAATCAACTCCTGCCACCTGAAACCTAGAGACTGGTGTGCTTTGCTCAACCCACCTACCTCTTTTCAAGTCAGGGACAGGCAAAGGGGTGCTTCCCACCCTAATGACCAGTGCAATCTAGATTCTCCCTGCGGTAAATGATAGCACCCTAGGTCCAGCTAGTTTAAAAGACGCAGGGCAGTGTGACGTGGAGCTAATACGAGCCCTGGCCTAGGATGCATGGCTCCCTGTCCACCCTGTCCCTGCAGCCTCACGTGGGAAGGAGCTTGTTTTACTAGCACAACCTCTGAGCCAGTCTAGGCACCCCGCCTGCCGATGGTAAAACACGTCTGCTCGAGGCTTCATTTCTTATCTTCTCTCACTGCTGAACCAACAGAGAGCTTCTCCCTTAAGGGCCTTTCTGCTCTTCCCACTGCTATGTCCCAACTCAACCCTAGAAGCAAAACACCCCCTAGACGGCAGCCCTTCAAATGCTGTATGTAAAGACAAGAGTTCTATCCCTCTTAAGTATCCCATGAGTATTCATTCCTTAGATAATTTCACTTTTTGACAATGCTCCCAAAAGGTCAACTCCAGATTGGCAGTGAACTTATAGAAATTGTGATCTAGAACTTCAGGTGAGCTCTAACACAGGCCCAAACCTGGATGATTAGAATCACCTGGGAGCCCTTGAGAACTCGATTTCTCATCTTCAGTCAAAATCTTCGGGGATGGATCTCGGGAATCTGAACGTTTGTAAAATTCCTCCAGTGATTCTGCTAATTATCCAGATTTGGGAATGACTTATCAGTAGAGTGGGACTGTTGTTTCGATCTTCAAAGAGTTTTGCTTCTTTGAAAACAATTAGAAGGTATGACGTTTTCATTAAGTCCTAGATCAGTTTAATTATAGGGCAAATCATTGACAGCAGGTGAGGAAATTTAAGAAAGGAACCCATTATTAAGGTGGATTATAGTTAAGTGGCTTATGATGAATCGTTGTAAGCTTGTTTCTTCAGAGATCAGGGGTCCATAGCGGCTGCTTGAGGGAGAATTCCTGAGAGTAATTTAGAACCTTCCACAGGGAAACGAGGGGTTCGGATCCACTGGCACCTGGATCTACTACCTTCCAGCTGAGTGACTTTGGGAAAAATCACTTAACCTCTGAAAAGCCTTAGTTTCCTCTTTTGTAAAATGAACCTCATAGACACTGTCTTCAAGATCAATCTTTAAAAAACGTAAAATGCTGAGTACAGGGCCTATCACATGCTCAACTCAAAAATGATGGGTTATTTCAGCAGCTCTGGAGATTTTTAAAAAAGGGTTATCACAGAAAACACATCAATGAGAAGAGGAAATGCTTTCAAATAACAGGCACAGGTACTGGAAGACAAGGGAACTTGGAAAACGGGAGGGGTGGTCTTGGCTTTTCAACAGTCCATGAAAAACTCTTGAAAACAGACAATGTCATTTACTCAAAGTTCAACATGATACAGATGATTATCTCAGTTCCCCACCTCCGGGTACCGTGTTCACTCTGAGAACAGTCCTTCAGAGACGTGAATAAACAAGAGCGCCTCCAGGCCAGGGTTCCCAAGAATGGTGAGGATAAATAAACAGCAGTCACTCAACAGTTGAGGAAGCTTCAAGTTCTCAAGTTCATGTGCTGATTTTACAGGAGCAAGTACTGCCCTGGAAGGGAGGAGGGGTGCCAGCAACAGTGACTGTTAAGATATTTTGCCCTCTGAGACTCTAAGTTTAAATTTCTAAACTTGGGATTTGGGGAAAGACAATGCTACTAAATAAAGACAAATAAATGCAAGGTACGTGCTGAAGAAACACGCAGGCACGTATGGAATGCTATTTTACACAAATGGGATGTGTTCTGGGAAAATCTCTTTGGGTCACAAAAGTAGTAACTTCTGAGCAAAACCAGTAACACAGTGTCCGAAGTGTGTACTTCTAGTTTGCAAATGCATCTGAGGAAAAAAGGAAAAAACACACAAAACCCCACAAGCACAAATAAACCAACTTTAATAGATATTATTTTGTATTTATATAGCGCCTTCTTCAAGAACCTTAGATGCTTTACAGACATGATATCTAATTAATCCCCACAACAACCCTGTGAGGTAGGTATTACTCCCATTTTACAAGATAGGGAGACTGAAGCACAGAGAGGTCAAGTGACTTGCCCAAGGTCACACAGTTAAATTCACTGAAGAGCCAGGACCTGAGCACCTTAGCCTCCCAACTCCCAGGTAAATACCTCATGAGAGAATCTTTATTGAAAAGTGGCTTTAAAGAAAGTATCAAGAGTAGTAAGTTATGGAAGTGAGGTCTTTCTACTGCCGTCAAGGAAACAAAAAAACCCTACACGGATGGTTAGAGGCGACGAGACCCATATATTACATTCCTCACCTCTTCTCTTTGCCTAAAGTCTCAGGGCTCCTGTCTCGAGCCAGCTTCTAAAGGTAAAGCCGCCAAGACAGAAGCCACGTGACTTAGAAGTGAGACTTAATTTAGAATATTTACTTTCAGTTATGATAATTTATAGAAATTTTTATTCCAATATACAAAATATGGGATAGCCATCCCAACAAACATGTACACAGTTAGACAGCAATCAGCCACCGTTTACAACTGAAACCCGCCCCTCATTTCAATCAGTCGGACCAGCACACAACCTCACGACGCGTTCTATATGGGTCACTTTTCTTACTTACTATATCTGCATTTTTCCCCCCGACCCTAACCCTACATGTATTCAAAGTATACTGTATTTCTGAGAAGCTTCAAAACATTCTACGTAGATGCAGCTGCACTCAGAGCGTACAAAGAAAACTGACAACCATCACCCCATCGTCCCCTCCTGACAAGTCATCCTATTAAACAGGGTGTAGATGTGAACAGTGCGTGACTACCGTGGAACTCAAAAACAACGCTAGAACTTGCTTTAATAGGAAATTTAACCTTGGCTTTTACTTCACTGTATGTTTTTTTAAATGCAAAATGTAAAAACAAACACAACATAGTATCCCAGTGCTGTACCTTTATGCAAATGACTTCACCTATCTTTCTCATACATGTTGTGGCCCAACGCAAGGAAAAACTGGTTCAGCTTCACGTTACACCTCGTCTCCATACTGAAAGCTGCAGAAATTTAGCTTTAAATTCCAAGACAATTCGGCTGAAGCCCTCAAAATAAAAAATGCATCCACCTCCGCAGCTATCACCTTGCCCACATTCTTGGTTGTGAGATTCTGTGCCATGTTGGTAGATCAGGCAGGCCATGTAATTTGTACCAGAACCATTCCAGCCAGGGTAAGGCTTTAGAAACTGTCTCTTAAAGAGCAATCTGTCAAAATATATCATCATTTTCTCCCAGTACATCTGTTTCAACAGCCCCATTAGCTAAGTGACCCTGTTAAAGATCTATCCATGGAACGAAGAGGTGAAGTCATTTCCTGAGCTAAAAGATACAGATAATAAATGTTAATAATAGCAGCAGACAAAACATTTTTTTGTTGCTTGTTTTTCAGATTCAACAGTATTAGTAAAATAAGTTTACAAAATTACAACGATTAAGAAAAAAAGATTCCTGCCTGGAAAAAAACATGAATAAAGAACAATCTAAGGCCTGATTGCTATTATCTTGAATATATATTCAATTATTTTCAGCAAGTTACATTCGGCCACTGTCAGACAACTTCTTGATGCATGGAAAAGTGTCAACTGCAATGGCTTACATCCATCTTACATCACACATGTTACTTCTTGAAACTGCCAACAGAATGAAGTCTTAAACACGAAGTTAAATTCCAATAACATCTGTAAAGGTGGAAGGGGGAAAAAAAAAAAAAAAAAGACTTGCTTTCAAAGTACTTCTGGTCGACCTCATTAAAATGTAACCCTCACAGGGTCTGTTAGCTCTCCAGGAGCTAGGGCTGGGATGGATCACTTCTTTCCAGGATAAAGAACATCTGAAAGTAACGTAGCTGCTATGACATGAGTTTTCCAAACGTGGCCTCGGCCTGAAGCAGAGCACTGACGAACTCTCAAGGCCAGTACACCACCGCTGCACCAGGATTTCTTACATCATTCCACGATGACAGGGAACTTTGGATAGTTTTTAATTTTACTGAAATTAAAACTGAATAAAATAACTGACTGACAACTAGGACAAATATTTAGCCAGAGATATCAGTTCCTCCTGAAAAAGAATATGTACCTCCTCTCATTGCAATTTTTCTTAAGGTAACTTATGATTTAAAAGAGAGTTTAAAATTCACCTTAAAAACAGAAACAAACAAAAGGATTAGTTAAACTGACAAAAACTAATAAAAGTATGCTCAAATTTACTGACAGAATCATGGGCACTTCATACAATACTTAGACTCTACCAGTTTTAAGTAAAATAAATAAGGAAAAAAATTATAATTACAAAGCCAGTCTTTCCCCTTGGGGAAACAAAAAGCCACTTCTGACCAACTGTTCCCTAGATATATACATATACTGTATATTATTATAAGCTTCTTCAGAGAAGCAGACGTATTTGTCTTCCTGACACTGGATTCTAGTATCTGTTAGTTTCTTTACATCAGGAAGGCAACTGCAAGTGTTGGGCCCAAAAGTATTTCTGGTTTACGCTTGAAAAAACCACCCAGTATTGCTTCTCAACGTGTTCAACCAGGCAAATGTATGCAGTGTGTTCAACATCATCTCCTGCAATTGTCAGTACAACCTCACAGACTCCTTTTCTTTCTGCTGCACCCCCAAGGAGTTCAATCATTATTGGTGCAATTAATGAAGAGAAAATGCATGCCAACTACTGGAAGGCTGTTTTACAAGAGGAGCTGGTATCTCTGATTTCACTGCCTGTTGTATGGAACTGCGCAGACAGCATGATCTGAGCAAAT